TGGCTTACAGGTGCATCTTCACATGGCCAGCCTTCCTCTGTCTGCCCCTCTGTGTCTCTGCTTTTTTTATAAGGCCACCATTCAGATTGGATTAGTATTCACCCTATCCAGTATGACCTCATGTTAATTTAACTAATAAAATCTCCAAAGACCCTATTTCCAAACAAGGTCAAGGTTGAAGGTACCAGGGGTCAGAATTTCAACATATCATTTGGGAGGACCCAATTCAACCCACCACCACCCAAAGAATTGAAGAAAAAGTTCAAGATTCTAATCGAAATTGACTAAACATGCAATCAAGGTGCATTGATTATTACTGGTGATTGGAATGCAAAAGTTGGAAACAAAGAAGAATCACCTGTAGTTGGAATATATGGCCTCAGGGATAGAAATGACACTAGAGATCGCATGATAGAATTTTGTAAGACCATAACTTACTTATTGCAAATACCTTTTCTTCAATAACATAAATGGTGGCTATACACATGGACTTCACTAGATGGAACACACAGGAATCAGATCAACTATATCTGCAGAAAGAGGCGATGGAGAAGCTTATACCTTCAGTCAAAGCAAGGTCAGGATCTGACTATGGAGCAGACCACCAATTGCTCATATGCAAGTTCAAGTTGAAGCTGAAGAAAATTAAACCAAGTCCACAAGAGCCAAAATATTACCTTGATTATATCCCACTTAAATTTAGAGACCATCTGAAAAAACAGATTTGACACATTGAACATCAATGAACAAAAACCAGAGGAGTTGTGGGATGACATCAAGAACATCATACATGAAGAAAACAAACAGTCATTAAAAAGACAGGAAAGGAAGAAAAGACCAAAATGGATGTCAGAAGAGACTCTGAAACTTGCTCTTGAACAGAGAGTAGCTAAAGCAGATGGAAGAAATGAGGAGATGAAAGAGCTGAATAGAAGATTTCAAAGGGCAGCTTGAGAAGACAAAGTCAATTGTTACAATGAAATGTGCAAACACCTGGAGTTAGAAAACCAAAAGGGAAGAACATGCTCAGCATTTCTCAAGCTGAAAGAATTTAAGAAAAAATCCAGGCCTCAAGTTGCAATATTGAAGGATTCTATGGGCAGAATATTGAATGATGCAAGATGCATCAAAAGAAGATGGAAGGAATACACAGTCACTGTACCAAAAAGAATTGGTTGATGTTCAACCATTTGAGGAGATAGTATATGATCAAGAACCAGTAGTACTGAAGGAAAAATTCCAAGCTGCACTGAAAGAATTGGTGAAGAACAAGGCTCCAGGAATTGATGAAATACCCATTGAGATGTTTCAACAAATGGATGCAGTGCTGGAGGCCCTTACTGGTTTATGTAATGTAGAAGACAGCTACCTGGGCAACTGACTGGAAGAGAATACCCATTACAAAAAAAGGTGATCCAACAGAATGTGGAAATCATTTAACAATATCATTAACATTACACACAAGTAAAATCTTGCTTAAGATAATTTTAAAATGGTTGCAGCAGTATACTGACAAAGAACTTCCAGAAATGCAAGTCCTCAGAAGAGGATGTGGAATGAGGGATATCATTGCTGATGTCAGATGGATCTTGGTTCAAAGCAAAGAATGCCAGAAAGATGTTTACTTATGTTTTATTGACTACGAAAAAGCACTGAACTGTGTGGATCATAACAAATTATGGATAACATTGAGAAGAATGGGGATTCCAGAACACTTAATTGTGTTCATAAGGAACATGAAGAACTTGTACATAGACCGGGAGGCTATTGTTCGAACAGAACAAGGGGACACTGCATGGTTTAAAATCAGGGAGGGAGTGGGTCAGGGTTACATCCTTTCACCACACTTATTCAACCTACATGCTGAGCAAATAATCTGAGAAGCTGGACTATATGAAGAAGAATGTGGCATCAGGATTGGAGGAAGATTCATTAACAACCTATGATATACAGATCACACAACCTTGCTTGCTGAAAATGAAGAGGACTTGAAGCACTTACTGATGAAGATCAAATTATCCAGCCTTCAGTATGGATTACACCTCAACATAAAGAAATAAAAAATCCTCACAACAACTGGACCAATAAGCAGCATCATGATAAATGGAGAAAAGATCGAAGTTTTCAAGGATTTGATTTTACTTGGATCTACAATCAACACCCATGAAAGCCAAAGTCAAGAAATCAGATGTCATATACACTGAGAAAATCTGCTGCAAAAGATCTCTTTAAGGTGTTAAGAGCAAAGATGTCACTTTGAAGACTAACCCAAGCCATGGTATTTTCAATCAGCTCATATAGAAGTGAAAGCTAAACAATGTATAAGGAAGACTGAAGAAGAGTTGAATTGCCTTTGAATTGTGGTGTTGGCAAAGAATACTGTAAATACATGGGCTGCCAGAAGAATGAACAAACCTGTCCTGGAAGAAGTAACTCTGGAATGTTCCTGAGAAGTGAGAATGGCCAGACTTCATTTCCCCTACTTTGGTCATGTTGTCAGAAGGGACCAGTCCCTGGAGAAAGATATCATGCTTGGTAAAGAAGACACACACACACACACACAAAAAAAAAAAACCCACCTTACTGCCACCGAGTCAATTAGGCTCATAGCGACTCCTTCATGGGTTTCTGAGGCGGTATCTCTATGGAAGTAGATTGCCCGATCTTCCTTCTGAGGAGTGGCTGGTGGCTTTGAACCACCAGTCTTCTGGTTAGCAGTCAAGTGCCTTAGGTACTATTGCCACTAGAGCTCTTACTTGGTAAGGTATGGGTCAGCAAAAAAGGAGAAGGCTCTCAATGACATGAATTGACACAATGGCTGTGATGACGGGCTCAAGCATAGCAAGGATTGTGAAGACTGGGCAGTGTTTTGTTCTGTTGTACACAGGGCTGCTGTGAGTCAGAGCCAACCCAACAGCACCCAGCAACAGCAACAACAATTCAACCTATAACACAAATATGGTGTCCATAAGTTGGTGTGTATCTGTTCATTCACTGGGCACTTACTATGTACCAGTCACTGGGCTAAATGCTGAGGATGCAAGAACTTCCTGGGCCTTAGAGTTGGGGAGCAAGGCAATAAAAAGTAAACAAATAATAGGCAATATATTCAAATATTGATAAGTGCTAAGAAGAGAATAAACTAGGGCAGTACAAACCACCTTGGAAAGCAGTTTTCCAGTTTCTTAAAAGCTAAACATTTGCTATATATGTGATCCAGCCATTCCACCCCATAGGTGCTCAATAACTATTCACCCAGTGAATGAATGAATGAGTGGATGAATGAATGAATCTATTTTACACATCAGGTTCTTTGTTGAGAGTACAAAGATAAATAAGATGCCTTTTTTTTTTTTTTTTTTGAGCTGAGGCAGACAAGGTTAGTGAAGGATATGAAAAATTTAAACTTGAATTCCAAAAGTATACACACTCAAAATTTGCCCTAAAGCCTTGTGGAATGTCCTTTGTGGGGGTCCAGTTGTCCTTGCTAGTCAGGAGTAGTTTCACTTTCCTTTCTTCTTCCTCAGTGCTCTGGCCAGCTGGGTCTTGACCTTGGCCTGGCACCCACCCCACGCCGCCCCCTCCCACATGCTACTGGCCCCAGCCAGTCAGAATGAATGCAGTGTCAGTGTATGAGCTGCAGGGACTGGACACAGGCCCAGCCTTGTACTTCATCCTGCCCCAACTCGTCCTCCCCTCCTCGCTGTGCTCCATCCTTTTTGTCTCAGCCTGGGCTGTATCTTCCTGATGATGCAGGCAGTGTTGCTCAACAGTTAAATGTGTGGGTTATGGAGCTGCACTTCCTGGGTTTCCAACCCAGTTTTAGTACAAGCCAGTGATGTGACTCAGGAACTCTGGTAGCACAATGCCTAAGGCATCTGACTGGTAACCTGAAGGTTGGCGGTTCACACCCACCAGCCACTCTGCGGAAGCAAGATTAGGCATTATACTTCCATAAAGATTTACTGCCTCGGAAACCCAATGGGGGTTGCAATGAGTTGGAATCAACTCGATGGCAGTGGGTTGTTTTTCTTTTTTTTTTAGCGATGTGACTCTGGGTAAGCCATGTAACTTCTCTTATTCACACTTCCTAACTTTAAATAAGGGTAAGAACAGTAACTACACCATAAAGTTGTTGCAAGCATTTTACTAAGATGGGATTTTCACAGTCTGCCACAAAATAAGTACTTAATAAATGTCAGCTCTAATCACATAAATTCTTTTGCGTTCTCTCCTTACAAGGTGATCATTGACCATGATCTTATGACACACTAACAAACTGAGATTAAACAAGTACGTCAGAGTAGAACTGTATTCCATAGGGTTTTTAATGACTGTAACCTCTCAGAAGTACATCAGTCTGTCATCTGAAGTGTCTCGGGGTGCATTTGAACAGCCAACATTACTGTTAGTAGCTCAGGCTTACTACCCATTTTCACCACCCAGAGAGCTGTCTGTATTGCTGGGAAAAGCCAGCATGGAGGACCCAGAGAGGGGTGTGGAGGCTGACGGGGGAGGGCACTGTTTTGGACACTTTATATTAATCCTCACAAGGATGTACAATAATCCAAATACGGTAGCCACTGTAAATGTCTCCATTTTTTAACAGGTGGAAGGAGGGAGGAAGACAGGGTGCCCTGTGGACTGAGACACACCAGCTGTTGCTACATCCACAGTTTGCACCTGAAAGTCCCCTCCATGTTCTCCTGGCTTCAGGTGGTCCCATCAGCCCAGGTGTCACCACCTGCTGGGATATTAGCCAGGAAGGACATTGCACCCTTAAAGTCAGTAATCCCGATATCCTGCCCCAAGAAACTGCCTGGGCTTCGGGAAGAGCCAAGAAACTCCTAAAGAACACTTACAGACAGACGCCGTCTCCTAGCTACTGGGGCGCGCTCACGTGACCGACGAGCCTCACGTGGTCCGTGAGCTGCGCTCGGAGCTCCGGTTGGAGCCGCTACAACGGGCGGGGCGGGGCCAGGCCGAGCAAATTTGTTTCCTGAGTTCCGAGCGGAGCAACCCCACGGCTGTCACGCAGGTGCCCTGGGTCTGGGTCAAGATGGAGCTGCCCCCGGTGAACCTGAAGGTGGCGACGGGTGGGGCGGGGCGGAGGTGGCCACGCCGCGGGCGGGGCGACTGGTATCTGGGAGCGTGTTGGGAGTTTGCTTTCCTTAAAGGATTTTAGAAGTGGGAGGACCTTGAGTTTGGTGAAAGGAGGGTGGCAAGGAGAACATGGAGGGAATGGATACCTCCACAAGTGAAAAGGAGGTGGGATAGACAGACCTCAGCAGAGAGGAGGCGTCTGGGAAAAGCCAGCATGGAGGACCCAGAGAGGGCACTGGAGGCTGACGGGGGAGGGAAAGGACGCGCCGTCCCCGAGCCAGCCGCCTCCAGATGGGAGCTCCGCCCGGGAGGATTGCTTTGGCCTGCACACCCAGAATTCCCGTGGAGAAGGAGGAAGCGGGCGAGGGGGTGGTAGTTGCCGCTGAGTGCCTGCAAGAGGGGTTTGGGGGCAGCCCTTCCCCCCTCTCCATCTTAGGAACCAGCCCTTTCACCTGCCTCTCATTTGGGTCCTGATAGCCTCCTTTATTCATTAAATAAGGTTAAGATAAGATCCCTGTGTGGCTGGCCTAAGTGGCTTGCCCTGGACTACAACCTAAAGGTGCTGGGTTGCCAGCTGTACGGCAAATGCAAGCTCTGGCGATCGGCTTCGGTAGACACTACAGCCAAGACAATCCTACTGAACGGCTCTACTACTTACTACACACGGGGTAGCCACGAATCAGAGTCGACTGGGCAGCAACAGGTTTCGTTTTGGTAGTTTAAGAAAATCAGATGTCACCAAAAGTGCTTTTCCAAACTTTGTTAAGTCTGGCTTTCTTAGTTCATAACTAAGAAACAAGGACACCGGAAGATAATTGAAAGCAGAAAATGTCCACTTTGTGCACTTAAGAAGACATTGTGGGGTTTCCTGGGGTGTCTTCATTTCCTGGCCTGTGTGCTGTCACAATGCCAGCGGCGGCTCTTCTCCCCACCCACCCCTAGCGTGCATCTTGGCTCTGTCTGCTGACAAAGGGATTGGGACCTTAGCTTTAGTCTGAAGGTGTGAACTTTGGATTATACCTGCACATTTTAAGTCTTGGTGCAGCCTCCTTTGAGCCCACGTTCAGAAAAGCCCTTTTACTCAGGAGTGGTCGAGCCTTTTAGCACCCTGTGGTGCCTGGGACAAAAGGAACTCAAGGGCAGCTGATTCCAAAACACCTCAGTCCATGTTTGGCTTGTTAAAAGTGCCCCTGCCATGATTATACCTGGGGAGATTTTCCTTTCAGTCCGCAGCTAAGGGGGAGAGATCCTGGAATAAGGGATGGACTTGGGTTTAAAGTTTAGCAGGGAAGAAATTTGTATGCAGACATCTGAGGTTCGTTGATATCGGTAGCCAAATCTCTGGAGTACCTATGCTGTTCCAGATGAGCAGGGGTTAATGTAGAAGATTTACACCTGCTGACTGCCTTTCCTCTGATTAGAGATTTGCACAGACTAATATTGAAAAATAAGGAGCTCTGGTGGCATAGTGCCTAAGGCATTTGACTGTTAACCAGAAGGTTGGCCAATCCATGGGAGGACTCTTCTGTAAAGATCACTGCTTTGGAAACCCAGTGGGGGTTACTATGAGTCAGAATCACCTCCATGGCAGTAGGTTTGGGGTTTTTTTGGGGGGTGGGTGGGTGGGTTAACTGCAAAAAATGGGAGAATCAGATGACGGACAGCGCTGCAGGAATTGAAGAGAAGAGAGGGAGGCGAGTTGTTCTTTATGGAGCATCTGTGGTGTGTCAGGGTTAATTGTTTAGTCACAACAGCCTCCCAAGAAAGCTGGCATTGCCATCTTTTTACAGATGAGCAAACTTTGGCTCAGAGAGGGTGCGTGACTTACTAGGGTTGCACAAGGATGAAGTGGCAGATTAGGATTTAAACCCCCAGATGTCAGACTCTAAAGCCGTGTCGTTTGCTGGGCACCCGGTTGGTTGGAGCAGACTTCTGCCTGACTGTTTACGTCCATCAGGAGGGCTTCCGTTTGGGGCTTTTTTTTTTTGAGCAACTTTATCGGATCCCTGGTAGTGCAGTGGTTAAAGTTTTTGGCTGCTAACCAAAAGGTTGGTAATTTGAGCCCACTAGCCACTCCGCAGGAAAAAGTTGTGTCGCAGTCTCCTGTAAAGATTTACAGCCTTAGAAACCTTATGGGGAGTTTTACCATGTTCTGTATGGTCACTTTGTGCACTTAAGAAGACACTGTGGGGTTTCCTGGGGTGTCTTCATTTCCTGGCCTGTGTGCTGTCACAATGCCAGCAGCGGCTCTTCTCCCCACCCACCCCTAGCGTGCATCTTGGCTCTGTCTGCTGACAAAGGGACTGGGACCTTAGCTTTAGTCTGAAGGTGTGAACTTTGGATTATACCTGCTCCTTTTAAGTCTTGGTGCAGCATCATTTGAGCCCTTCCAGGCCTTTCCAGCTCTAGAGACATCTGTATCCGAGGTTATACAGAGTGATATGGCTGCGGGGCTCTCCAGGCCAGCCACCCATGTCTCAGCCATCCATCTGTGTCATTTGCTCCCTAGTACATCAGGCTCTGCACACCAAGAAACACCCAGATGCTAGAGACCTGTGTGTACACAGTCTGGACGCAGGAACCAGAGCCACCGGGAGATCACGTGGAAGTGAAGATTGTTTCCAAAATTAGAAGACAGCAGCAGGAGAGATCAGACATTGATTTTCTTGAGGAAGGAGCCCCTGGGTGCTACAAATGGTTAATGGGCTTGGCTGCCAACTGAAAGGCTAGAGGTTCAAGTCCTCCCAGAGGCATCTTGGAAGAAAGGCCTGGAGATCTACTTCTGAAAAGTGAGCCATTGAAAATCCCACGGAGAATAGCTGTACCCTGACACATGGGGTGGCCATGAATCAGCCAACTCGATGGCAGTTGTTTTGTTGAGTAAAGTGGCGATGTGAGCTGCCTCTCCCCTGCCTTCTTCAATACTGGCTTCTCTTAGACTAAAAGCTAGGACACCAGGACCACCCTGGCTGGCCACGTAGTGTTTGGTAGGTCCCTTCCCCTCTGTGGGCCAAGTTTCCTATGAGATGGAGGGGGCAGAGGTTAGCTCTTAAGATAAAAATCAGATTCCATCCCTCCCCAGACCCCACTCTGCCTCCTGTGCCCCCCTTCACACTCCTCATGCCTTCCACACTAGCCACACTGGCTTCTTTTCACTTCCCAGCATGCTCCATGCTCCCTTCTGCCACAGGGCCTTTGCAGATGCTACCCCTTCTGCTTGAAGTGCTGTTCTCCCCTCTCTGCCCCTGGTTAACACCCCACTTGCCACCTTCAGTCTCAGCTTCATTTTCCCCTTCATCATAGAATAAGGTTCCTTTTCCCTTGCTTTGGCTGCCCTTTCAAGTGAGGTCTCATTTGACCCCACTTTCCTAAGACTGATTATGTGATTAATGGATGTCTCCCTGCTAGATGTAAGTTCTGGGATGACAAGCACTACATTGGCTCTGCTCACTTTGGGACCCCAGGGCTGAAGCTAAGCAGGTGCCCAGTGATGCCAGGTTGGTAGCTCAGCTCTGGACCGAGCAGCCTGTTTGAATCCTGGCTCTCCTGCTGACTAGCTGTATGACCTTGTACAAGTCACTTACCTCTAAGCTTCAGTTCCTCAGCTATAAAATGTGTTTATATACAGAAAGCACTTAGATGGCTGGCTGGCCCATAGGAAGTACTCAATAATAAACTATGGTAGATGATTGCCAAGATTCCTTCTAGAGCTAAAAAAAGAAAAACCAAAACACTTGGTGTCAAGTGGCCTCCATCCCACGGCCGCCCCATGTTGTCAGAGCAGCACTGTGCTCCCCGGGGTTTGCAATGGCTGATTTTTCACAGGAGATTGCCAGGCCTTTCTTTGAAGTGCCTCTAGGCTCTCGGTTAGTGGTGAGCATGTTAACTGTTTGTACTACCCAAAACCAAACCACTGCCATCAAGTCAATTCCAACTCATAGCAACACTTTAGGACAGAGTAGAACTGCCCCATAGGATTTCCAAGGCTGTAAATCTTTACGGAAGCAGACTGTCTCATCTTTCTCCCATGGAGCAGCTGATGGTTTTGAACCATCAACCCTTTGGTTAGCCGCCAAAAGCCTTAACCACTGAGCAACCAGAGCTCCTTGTCTGCACTCAGGGATCTGTAATGTACAGATTCAGCTTTTTCAGAGTCTTGGAGCCATGTAAATTTTCAAAGTTAGGCTCATTGTCTTTACAGAATTCTTTCCCTCATCGTCTATAGCTGGAAGAGGACTTTCTTCTGGGCTGGGGAACCCCTGTCCCTTTGGGGTCATTCTGGCACCAGGCACTGGAGGTGCATGTGAGCTGTATGCTCCAGAGTTCATCTGCCCACATGTATAGAGGATGTTCAGATTTGTGCCCAGGCCAAAGATCTCCCAGCTAAAGGCCCAGGCCTCCAGAGTAAAGGCTCAGAATCAGACTCAGGTTTAATTTTTGTTTTGCCACTTGCTGCCTATGGGATCTTGATCAGCTTAATTTACCTCTGAGCCTAGTTCTCTCATCTGTAAAATGAGATTAATCGTAGTATCTGGTCCAGAGGCTGTCATGTGGCCCAGGTAAGGTCATGTGAAGTGTTTGGCTCAGGGCCTGGCAGGTCATGGGTGTGCAGTAAATGGCAGCTCTTCTGGAAATGCTTTTTCCTCTTCAGCCAGGCTACTTCATTGCAGGTGGGGTGTCTCCCTCAGCCCTTCACCCAGACCAGATCTTAAGCTTTTCACTCCAAACTCTTACTTGGTTGGCCTCTGTTCTCTGGGCCCTGCATTTTGCTCCTGCCCCAGCCCTTGGCAGCTCCCTTCCAGGCTGATCCCTTCTATCCCTTGAGTAAACACCTCCCAAGGCCCCCATCAGCTACCAGGCTCCACTGAAGCTCCTGACTTGGGGCCTGTGGCCTCCTGCAGTCTTAGCAATGCACACGCCCCAGCCTCAGCCACACCTGCCACCTGCTCCTGGCTCTGTGCACACCTGGGTCCTGCTCCCTGCCTTAGCTGCTGTGTGCCCACTCCCTGGAAGGCCTCTCACTCTCCCTGCCCTTTGCCCAGTGGTTCCTGCTCATCCTTGAGCACTCAGCTCTGGAGTTTCCTCCCCTTGGAAGTGCTTGCTGATGCCACCCATTCCCTCCCTTTCTTCCCACAGTAGCTGCTCCTTCCTTCTCTTTCTCCTTTTGAGTCAGTCACAGCCCTTTCGATTATTAGGAGCAGAGACTAGTTCCAGTAAAACCAGTTGCTATCAAGTCAGCCCCTACTCATGGTGACTCCATGTGTGTCAGAGTAGAATTGTGCTCCATAGGGTTTTCAGTGGCTGAATTTTTGGAAGTGATCACCAGGTCTTTCTTCTGAGGTACCTTGGGTTGGACTTGAACCTCTAACCTTTTGGTTAGCAACCGAGCATGTTAACCATCTGTACCAACTGGGGACTCTAGTTCCAGTAAGAACAGAAAACAAACCTGTTGCCATCAAGTCAGTCCCGATTCATGGTGACCCCATGTTACAGAGTAGCACTGCTCCATGGAGTTTTCTTGGCTGTGATCATTACAGAAGCAGATCACCAGGTCTTTCTTCTGCGTGCCACTGAGTGGGTTCCAACTGCGAACATTTCAGTTAGCAGTCAAATGCAATCCACCTTCGCCACCCAGAGATCTCAGTTCTAGTAAAGGGGACGGTTATTTTAAGGACATACAGAGTAATTAAAAAGGGTTGGATGACACAGAAATCCAGGAATAGTAGCCAGAAGGGCTTTTTCTTCACATGAATCTTACTGCATTACTGCCCTCCAGAAAAACCCCCGTGGCCTCCCTCGCTGCACCTAGAATAACACCCATGCTCCCCATCTCATCGCTCCTTCTCTTCTCTCCAGCCACACTGGCCACTTACTTGTTCCTTGCATGTACTTGCTGTCCCTCTGCCTTCCCACCCACAGCACCCCAGCTGCAGTGTCCCAAGAAATGGTACTTGTTTGAGCCCACCTGGCTGTTTCCTACTGAGGCCTCCCTCCAATTTCAGGGCAGACTTCCAGCATTCTGTTCCAGGAGCCACCAGCCCTTGGAAGCAGGAAAAGTACACTGTCAGCTGCCCTAAGGGCTGGGAGAGGTAGAAGTGGCAGCTCTCCTGGCCTAGCCTACATTCTCCCCTCTCCACCCCTGGGCCACTTCTTGTGGCTGGTATTTTCAACATTTATGAAACTGTCTTTGTTTGCAAGGGCTACTGTAACAAAACAAGGAGCCCTAGTGGCATGACGGTTAGGCACTTGGCTATTAACCAAAAGGCTGGTGGGTTGAGCCTACCAGCGGTTCCTTGGGAGAAAGAACCCAGTGACCTCCTTCTGTAAAGATTGTAACCTAGGAAACCCTATGGGGCAGTTCTACTCTGTCCCATAGGGTCGCTATGAGTCAGAATCAACTCAGCGGCAAACACCAACTGTAACAAAACAATATCACAAGTGGATAGCTTCAAAGAACAGGAATTTTATTGTCTCAGTTTGAGGAGCTAGGCATCTGAATTCAGGGATCAGCAGAGCTAGGCTCTCTGCCTCTCTCTGCGGGGCTGTAGGGGAAGATCCATGTCCCTTTAAGCTTCTGTAGCCCTGGGCATTTCTTGACATTCCTTACTAAACTGCTTGTAGATGCGTCTTCACCTAATGGCTGTCTGCCCTTGTGTGTCTCTGTCTTGTCTGCATTTTTGATAAGATGCCAGCCAGTGGGATTAGGGTTAGGACCCACACTACTCTGTATGGCCTCATTACTATAACACAAGAAACACCCTGATTCCTAGCAGGTCATATTTAAAGGTATAAGGGTAAGACTGTTACATAACTTTTTTGGGGACACAGTTCAATCCATAACACCCTCTCAGGCACCTCCTGTGTCTTCTGGCTCCAAAAGCCATCTCACACCCACACTCCATGGTCGTCATGCCCACAGACCTGTTCTAACCTCCCTCCCCAATTTTGTGCCACAGGCGATCCTTCTGGTTCATTGGCTGCTGACGACCTGGTGAGTAACTCTGTGGGTGTCTAGTCTGTGTCCACTTCTGTGTCTCCCAGCTGGTCCCAAGGCTAAATAAAATCTTTTATCATTGGCAAGCTGCCTGCAACTCCAGGATTGTTGGAGCAGCAAGAGTTCCCAGAGGCCTCTGTCACTGCTGCCTCCTAGGAGCTTCAAGGCCTCATCCTTGGAGAGGCACAGGCCTACCAGCGCTGATGGCTCAGGTCTGTTCCAGACACCGCCCAAGTGTCCTGAGCATGTGTGACTGGCTTCTTCCCACAGCCTCTCCCCTGGGGAGGTCTACAGTGCTGAGCTGGGACCAGTCTCCAATACCATGATGGGCTCAGCGAGGCAGCCATGCAGCTCTGTGTATCTGTAGATCAGGGTCAGGCTCTGACCTTAAACTCTCTGAGCCTGTTTTCTCATCTGTAAAATGGGAATATCACTGACCTTCCTGTTTATCTTGTATGGTGAGAGTATGGCTTTAGAAACTACAGTAACTACTTACATTCATTGGGGAATCCAGGAGCCAGCTGCTGGGCTGAGATGAGCACCTCTATGGATTATTAGCTCAGTTCCTTGACAATGAACCTGAGACACATGGGGGTGGAGTCATTTGCTTAGGGGTACACCCTCACTCTACCACACCACACTACCTGCCCAGAGAAGGCAGACTTGGAATCAGAGGGCTCTGGTGAGGTCCTGGCTCTGCCATGTTCCAGCTGGGTCACCTTGAACAGGCAGCTCTCTCTCTTATAACTTGGTTTCCATCTGTAAAACAGGGCTTCAGGAGCCCTGAGGAGAAGTGTGTGGTGCTTGTCTGACACCTGCAGGGCCTGGGACAGAGGGAGACTCAGGACCAAGGATGGATTTCCATGGTTACTGTCTGTTTTCTTTAGTGGGCTTCTGAGTTTCTTCTATAGAGAGGACTTCTCATCCAAACAAAGACTGGAAACCATTGAGCTCATGTGTGCGTTTTGGAAACTTTTAAGTGCAGTTCATATGTAAATGGTTGTGAATAATGTAGACAGAGCTAATCATGGTTAATGACTGTGGGGAACAAGGTAAAGATACAGATTTCTCAGTTCCAGTCCCTGGGATTCTGAGCTGGGGAGGCTGGACTGAAGTTAACACAAATGCACATAAATTATTTCATATAAATTTCTTAGAACTGTGCCAGATATGTAGGAAGTGCTAACTTTTCTTTTCACTGGATTGACAAGCAAATAAGTAAGTAAACAATAGCAGTCAGTAGTAATACCTTAAAAAATAAAATAGAACGGATACTGTGTTACAAAGTGACCAGGTAGCACTTAAAATTGGAAGATCAGGGAAGAGGTCTTGGAGTTAAATTTCAAGCTGTGACTGAAATGACAAAAGGAGTGTTTAGGACAAAGGGAACAGCATGGACAGTGGCTGCACAGTCAGAGGGAAGTTGGCTTATTTGAGGGGCAGAGAGAAGGCCAACATAGGGAGCCAGAGGTCAGCAGAGGTTGGAAGGTGAGAGTAGGGCAGTGTTGGGGGCCAGGCCCCATAGGGCCTCGTGGGCCATGGTGAGGAGTCTGTATTTTATTCCCAGTGGGACAGGAAGGCCTGGGGAGATTTTTAGCAGAGGAGTGACATAACCTGATTTACATTACAAAGCTAAATAAAAGTAAGCCAGTTCCTGTTCAGTAGACTTTAACTCTTGGCAACCCCACGTGTGTCACATAGAACTGTGTTCCACTGGGTTTTCAGTGGCTGATTTTTCATGAGTAGATTGCCAAGCTTTTCTTCCTAGGAGCCTCTGGATGGTCTCAAACCACCAGTCTTTCCATTAGAAGCCAAGCATGTTAACCCTTTGCTCCAACCAGGAACTCCATGATGTATATTGAAAAAACAAACAAACAAAAAACCCACTGCCATAGAGTTGATTACAACTCATAGCAACCCTACAGGACAGAGTAGAACTACCCCATTGGGTTTTGAAGTCTGTAAATCTTTACAGAAGCAGACTGCCTCTTATTCTCCTGTGGAGTTGCTCTTAGGTTCGAACTGCCAACCTTTTGGTTAGCAGCCAAATACTTTATCTGCTGCACCACCAGACTCATAGCGACCTCACCTGGGGTTTCTGAGGTGGTATCTTTATGAAAGTAGTTTGCCTAGTCTTCCTTCCAAGGAGTGGCTGGTGGGTTTGAACCGCCAGTCTTCTGGTTAGCAGTCAAATGCCTTAAGCACTACGCCACCAGAGCTCCTAGACTTATATTACTGGTTGCTATTAGGAATAGCCTATAGGGTGCAGGAGTGGAAGCAGGGAGACCATCAGGAATGCCTGGGACTTAGAGGGAAGTGGCCACATTCTGGATCTGTTTGGGAGGTAGAACCAATGGGATGCACTGGCATTACTGAGGTGTAGCCAGGTGGATAGAGCGAGCACCTGTGACCTTGCAGACATAGCCTATTCTTGGGGAGCGAGCCTTAGAACCTGGGAGCATGAGGGAGGTGAGCTTGAGGGGGAGGGGCAGTGGCAGCCTGACTGGGTTTGGGGTGCCTCTTTCTGCAGGGGCTGCATCGTGTTCTCGGGCCCCTATGCCTGGGCCAACTTCACCATCCTGGCCTTGGGCGTGTGGGCTGTTGCTCAAAGGGACTCCATCGACGCAATAAGCATGGTGAGCTCGGGTGGCGGTGGGCATGGGGGCAGCAGCCCAGAGACCTGGCTTCAGTGTGAGCCACGGCCCCTGCTCTTCTTCCCTTCCTGTGGTGGTTATGTCTGTGTGTCAACTTGGCTGGGCCTGGTTGAGTGGCTGGGCAGCTGGTGGTAGTTAATCCCCATGATGAGACTGGCAATCAGCTCCATCGTGGGATCTACCACAAGCAGCTGAGTAGCTGCCTTTGGGATGTGGTCTGCTTCCTGTATATAAGGAGAAGCCTTGGGAATGGTCTCTAGCCTATGGCACGCTTAGACCCTACATGTAGCTGTGTCGTTGCTCAGCAGCCTGCCATGCTCTGCTGACCTTGGGACTTCCAGTGGACTTAAACTAATGGTCTGCCATGTGGTTTGGTAACATCGGGACTGTGCCTTTTTACTTATCAACCTTGGGGCTTCTCGGCCTCGGCAACCAGCAGCTGTCTGAGTGAAGAAACGCCTCTAGCTCCAGTGGGCTGGGAGCAGGAGGCAGAGCTGGACCCCAAGGTTGAGGGGCTTTCACCCAGCCCCTAGAGCGTGGCACTGGGTAACCAGAACACTTCCCCATCCCAATTTTCTGTCTTCTTTGTGCCCCTCCCCCTAAATTTTCTTTAAAAAAAAATAACAACTCACTGCCATCGAGTCATATCTGACTCATAACAACCCCTCTATGGAAGCAGATTGACCAGTCTTCCTTCCAAGGAGTGGCTGATGGGTTTGAATCGCCAGCCTTCTGGTTAGCAGTCAAATGCCTTAGGGACTATGCCACATTTTCTAAAGACTTATAAGTAAGCCCACCAGGCTACCAGCCAGTGTGTGTGCTCAGTGGTCTGGCCTGCTTCTCTGCCTGCCTGGTTCAGAGAGCCCAGGATCTGCTCATCATGTTCCCCAGAGAGTGCCTGAGGTGGACCCCCACCAGTGTCCCGAACTGGCCATGCCTGCAGGCAGTGGCACATTCCCCAGTCACCTGACTCCAGCGCTCCTTTTTAGAGGAGGTAAAAAGCACAACAACAACAAGAGAGAGCTCCACCACTCCCTGAAGTCACAAGTTGACAATAGTCCAACTGAAGTCTGCCACAAGGGGGCAGCTTCCCCACAGCCAGGAAGTCCTGAGAGGCAGTGAGCCCTCTGGTGTGGGAGCTGTTCAAGTCAAGGCAGAGGGCCTCAGGATGACTGAGAAGGGACCTTCTTTGTGGCTGGAGACTGGGTTAGATAAACTCCAAGGGACCTTCTAACTCTGGAACCAAGTCTTATGCCTGTTCATGGCCTCAGGAGATGAGGGAGAGGTGGTAGCCTCTGTGATGGAATGGGCAGGGGCGGGCCAGGCCCAAGCCTAGGCCCAGGCCCAGAGTCCTTACCTCCCAGTCCTACACTCTCCATCTGGCATTTTACCCACAAGGGCCTGCCTACCTGCCTGCTTGATCCCTCAGAATACAGTAGGAAGCACTAGGCCATTTCCTGTCCTTATGAGCTCCCAGTCTGGAGGAGGACTGGGTTGTGACATGAAAGGGTATCCGTGTGCTCACAAACCTGTAATGCCATGTATTCCCCTTGAGCCCCATGCCCCATGTGTCTTACAGTTTCTCAGTGGCTTGGTGGTCACCATCTTCCTGGACATCATCCAAATTAGCATCTTCTACCCACGGGAGAACCTCACAGACACGGGCCGTTTTGGGGCTGGCATGGCCATCCTCAGCCTGATCCTCAAGCCACTCTCCTGCTGCCTCGTCTACCACATGTACCGAGAACGTGGGGGTGAGCTCCTGCTCCATGTTGGTGAGCCCGCCCTCGCCTTGTCAGCTCCCCACCTGCCTTCTGGCAGCCTCCTTCTGTGTGCCTGGCTGACCCACAGCCCCTGCCTATGAGCCGACCTTGCCCGAGACCAGGGGAGAGTGGGGTGACATGGATGACAGCACTAGAAAGTGTGGTGGTCTCTAGCCCTGCTGAGGAGTCAAGTGGCCCCAGCTGTCCAAGCCTGCTGCACCCTCCCCCTGGCATCAGGCTGCAGGCAGGGTTGGGGGGCAGCTGCCAGGCCCTTCTCTCAGCCCAGCATACCAGGCACAGCTGAGGGTGAAACAGGTCACTCTGAGGTGTGCAGGCATCCGGAATGACACCTTCTCCTCCCAGGTCCCACCTGGTCCCTCCCCAGGAAGCCCTTTCTGCCAGATGGGGTCTCCCGTCTCCTGAGGCAGAAACAGCACCGAGCCTTCCCCCGAAAGCAGCGCTAACCTGCTGACCAGCCCTCTGGCCTCCAGCCCGTTTCCCCACCTGAGCCTCCTCACGCCCCTCTGGCTCCTGTGTCCCTCTCAGGGTAGCTGAGCCATTTTCCTGCTCTCTGACACGTTCTCTCCTATTTCCTTTCTCTCCCTGAGAAGTAGAGAGGGACAGGGTGTGCCTTCTACCTTTTACTCCTGAGATGAGAGATCCAGAGTGGCCTGCCTGGGGGTGGGCAAGGACAGGAGGGGGTGGGGCATGTGTGAATATGTGTGCTTGCTGTGGTTGCCCTCGGCACTGGGCCCCAGGCCCCGCTGCCAGCTTTGGAGAGCTGGCTTCTCTACCCATTTACCAAAGAGGGAAGTGGCTGATCAAGCTTTGCTCTCCTACCTTGTATATTCTCACACCTTGAGTGAAATTACTCCAAAAAAAAACACCTCATCTGGTTGCCATTGAGTCGATTCTGACTCGCCAGCCCCACGTGTGTCAGGGTAGAACTGCTCCGTGTGGTTTTCCATGGCCGAGTTTTCAGAAGCAGATCACCAGGCTTTGCTTCCGAGGCACCTCTGGGTGGACTCACTCAGATATCTGACCTTTTGGTTGGCAGCTGAGCCCATACCTGTGTGAAAATCTGTCACGGGTATCAGATATAACACACAATTTCAGCAGTAATGAAGCTGTCAAGTTTAAGGGGACTCCTTGAGGAACACAGTGATGCCCTTTGCCTAGGACTCCTGCTCTGTGGAGCTGTGAGAGGATGGAATGAAGGATGCCTGCCAGAGGCTTGGTGCCCAGGCGCTGCTACCACTGTCATTTCCTTTGTGCCAGGGTGTCCAGCTCCAGCCTTCCTGGTGGGGGTTGGTGGATCTTGCTTTGGACTCAGTAGAATTTCCTGAGTTCTCACCCTCATTTTTTATTTCCCTGCCCCCACCCTCCACCCGCTCCCCCAGGTTTCCTTGGACCCTCGGAGGAGCGCAGTGCCTACCAGACGATTGACTCTCCAGAAGGGCCCAATGACCCCTTTGCAGGCCCAGAGAGCAGGGGTCAGACAACACAAGGGTATTGAAGCCAGGCCTGCCCTGGCTGACCCCACCCAGACTATGTCGCCTTCCTTGTGCCTTAGAGGCCATTCTAGGGATGCCCATGACCTCCCTTTCTTGGACCTCAAATGGACCATGGCTTCCTGTTTTCCATCTCGGACTGCCTGAAGCAAGTGCCTGTAGAGGCCAGGAGTCCCTGTGCACCTCCCCCCAATGCACATAATTGCCCCAAATTCCCTGGCCCTCCCTCCTCTCCATTACCTGACTGGTTCCCAGGCTGGGAACCATAATCTCTATCCCCATCTCCTGCCCCAGAGCTGCTCAGCACAGGCCTCAGACCAAGCCACACCTGAGCCTGGCAGGGTCAGGTACCTGTGTGGGCCACCCTGCCCACTCCTCACCTCCTGCTTAGGCCCATCCGCAGAAGTTATGATAGCTTTGGGCCAAACTCAGCCCAAGAGCAATGCAGAATGAGAACGAGGTTCCAGTGTTTCTGTCTGGTCACGTGGTGCCTGAGGACCCCAGTCTGGAGATGGGGGTGTCTCTGGTACCAGAGATGCTGCCACAGCCCCCAGCTGCCTTCCCAGAGCCCTGGCATTAAAGTTTGGGGAATCCTGTCACCGGGCTGTGTTTTGAGCCATATTTAATCCCCTGGGTGAGCTGGGGCAGGGACTCGCCATTCCTGGGACAATATCTCATTCCAAATCCCCAGGGGAGCCTGGGTTTCACTGCCCACTTCTATTATGACAAGAGGAAGCAGGGCTCAGGGCACCAGCTCGGGCCTGCCCCATACCCACCTTGGGCCTGATTGAGGCCACAGCCAAGAGGACACTGTGGTTGGTGAACAGCCATCCGTTTCTTCAAATCAGAGGACCTGGAAACTGATTTGAACCTGCTCTGCCACTTAGGAGCTTCAGCATCTTGGACAGCCTCTGACCTCAGCATCTTCTGGGAAAGGGCCAATGGTGCCCCTGGAGTGATTATGCAAATTGCGTGTAAAGTGCCTGGCCCCAGGAAGGGCTTCATAAATGACAGCCAAGTGACTAGCAATGGAGTCACTCCCTGAACATGGGATGATACTGGGACAGAAGTTGAGCAACAACAGCGCTTCCTGGCAGACTTGTATCCTGGTCACACAGCTGACATGGACTAGGGTGTCTGGAAGCTCTGTGTATTGCCAGGCAAGGGCCCCACCCCACTCTGGCTCTGGGGATTCAGAGTTCATTCCTCCCCAGAGCCCTATAGGTGTGGCTGTGGGCCCCAAGTGCCTGGACTTTCCCAGGCCATCCTGGCTTTTCTGGGTACAAAGAGGTCAAAGCCTGGTGCATATCCCCCACCATTCCCCTGTATCCATCTGTCTGTCAAAAAAGGCTGAGTGCCTGCTGTGTGCTGGGCAAGGGCCTGGGCTACACCAGTGAACTCGGGTGCCTGCTAGTTGGGGAAAAGACATTAAACAATTTCTCTCATCAGAGGGAAGTCTGGTTGCAAATGGTGAATGTGCTCTGCTGCTAACCAAAAGATTGGAGTTTGAGTCCACTGAGAGGAGCCTTGGAAGAAAGGCCTGGCAATCTATTTCCAAAATTTCAGCATTGAAAACCCTACGAAGCACAGTTCTCTGACACACATGGGGTCACCACAAGTTGGGGTCGACTCAACAGCAACTGGTTCTTATCAGAGGACGTCAGACTTTGGCAAGAGTCTGGAAAAGGAAATGTGAATAATCAACATGGTGGCATTGAGGAAGAGGAAGACAGAGAGGGGTACATGGGAGGTACAGACAACAAAGATGAACCCTTTTGCACATACAGTACTGCATTATCAGTGAAGGCAAACATGGGTATACAGGTGGATAGATGGGTGAACAGGCTGAACTATTAGGTATGTCTATGCAGCAGGGAGTGTACCCAAGACCATGTATTGGGTTGGCAGACAGTGGTTCTACAAGTGTATTTGTATGTTCTGTAAGAATTCCCAGGTGTATAGTAGAGCTGACAAGGGACAAGATTGTAGTCACTTCTTGGTCACAGCCAGTTACCCAGAGGGAGCGAGTAGTTGAACCTGTGGGCTCGGGACTGTAGTTGCAGGGGACATCAAGCTCAATTGGCATAACATACTACACAAAACATTGTTCCACCTCCTACTTTGGCGAGTAGTGACTGGGATCTTAAAAGCTTGCAAGCAGCCATCTAGATGCAATGATGGGTCTCTCCTCGTCCAGAGCAAAAAAAAAAAAAAAATGAAGAAAACCAAAGATTCATGGAAACAATTACTCCTAGTAACTGGGACACCATGCGATCTGAAGCCTATATGACTACAAGACTAGAAGAACTAGATGGTGCCCAGCTACCATTGTCAACCACTCAGAGGGGGATCTATGTAGGAGATCCTGGATGGAGAGGGAGAACAATGTGGAACAAAACTCAAAATCATTTGGGAAAAAAAAAAAAAGACTAGGTTTGCTGATCTGATAGAGCCTGGTGGAACCACTGAAACTATGGCCCCTTCAGGTCTGGAATTAAACCCACACCTGTGGCTTCCAGCCAAACAAAAGACAGGTATATGAGTTGAACATTTACCTGCGCTAGATACACTCCTTGGAGAGAACAATCATGGGATAAAGAAGGGCTGCTTATGCACAGGGAGACAGCTCAGGGGACAAGAGTGCATGGAGGGATGGACACAGGGAAGAGGTAACTATCGGGAGGAAGTAGGAGGGGAGCTGTTGCATTGGGGTAAATTGTAGTCAATGTCACGAGACAGCATTATGTGAAGTGCTGTATGGAAAGTGAATTTGCTCTGTAAATTTTCACCCAAATCACAATTAAAAAAAAAAGAGCCTGGGAAAGGAATACTGGCTGCCTGGTGGGCAAGAGAGGTTTCTGGGGGAAGGCCGTTGTTCTCTGAGGCCAAGGAGTGCTGAGTGGCTGGAGTTGTGGAAAACCAGAAACAGCCTCACTTCCAGAATGAGATGGACAAGGAAAATGTGTTACATTCATTCTGTGGAATACTATTCAATTAAAGTGAATGAACTAGATCTAACTGTATCAACATTGGTTCCCCCTAATGTGAACAGAGGAGCTCTGGTAGCATAGTGGCTAAAAGCACTTGACTGCTAACCAGAAGGCTAGCGGTTCAAACCCACCAGCCACTCCTCGAAAGGAAGGTTGGGCAATCCTACTTCCGTAGTGATACTGCCTTGGAAACCCAAGGAGGGGTCGCTATGAGTCGGGGCCAACTCGACGGCACATAACAACAACAACAATGTGAACAGAACATTGCAAGGTGACATGCGTTAGTGTGAATTTTTAAAATCTCAAAACTAGACCGTTCACTGTTCATGGGCATTTATGGAGTGAAAATATGTGGACTAACCAGTTGCCATCTAGTCAGTTCTGACTCATGGAACCCCATGTTGTCAGAGTAAAACCGTGCTTCATAGGGTTTCAGTGGCTGATTTTTTAGGGGGAGTAGATCACCAGGTCTTTCTTCTAAGGTGCCTCTGGGAGGACACATGCCAAATCCTTGATTGTGATGGTTTGGGACAGAGGTGTGTCCTGGGGGGAATGGGACTAAAACTCGTGCCCTGTTACTCTACGTTACACCAGTGCCTGGCACACAGAAATTTGTGTGTGTGTGCGTATGTGTGTGCATGTAGGCACATGTGCTTGTGTAGCGTGGGGAGGCAAGTAGCTTGATACCAAGCAAGGGAGCTGGACTTCGTCAGTCATTGGCCAAGAGCTGTTCCAGGGCCAGGGAAGGAGCACTTTAATTCCTAAGCACTCTGGTTCCCAAAGGAGCACCAGTAGTGTAGTGGTTAAGGCATTTGGCTGTGAACCAAAAGGTTGGTAGTTCAAATCCACCAGCTGCTCCACAGAAGAAAGATGAACTGCCATAAAGATTTACAGCCTTGGAAACCCAATGGGGATTGCTGTGAGTAAGAACGGACTCAATGGCAGTGAGTTTGTTTTTTCAGTCTGGTTCCCAAGTCATGCAGGCAAAGTGGCTTCAGGAGCTCAAGGGCCATTCTCCAAGGAGGAGTTCAAGGAGAGGGATATAGAAACTGTGAGGGGCACCAGTGTGACTGCTCCCTTTCCATATAGGCCCCATAAAGGAGAGCTGCTAACGTTCATTCAACAAATGCTTGTTGAGAGCTAGGAGTGTCCTAGATGCTGGGGATAACAGTGGAAAAAATGTCTCTGTCTCCCAGGAACAGAATTGGACATGATCTGACTTACAGTCTAAAAGCACCATATTGGTGGCTTGGACCAGGGATAGGGAGGAGTGACAGAATTCAGTGCCAGGCTAAATGTAGGAGAAAGAGAGGAGTCGGTGATTGCAGGGTTTGGGGCCTGAGCAGCTGGAAGCCTGGAGCTGCCATTAACTGGGAGTGAATGGGGAGGATGGCAGGAAGGCAAGTTCAGGGCAAGGTCAAGAGCTGAGTCCTAGACCAGCCAAGCTGGAAGTAACACATTCTCACAACAACCCTTGTTCTTTTCAAAAGGTTCTATTCTGGGGGGACTTGGAAATGGAAGACCCTCCAGGTTTCTATCTATAGTGTCTGATGGTCTAGAGACTGTCAGACACAGGAAGCAAATTTCTCCTGCCTCTGGTCTTCTGCTGTTGTTGTTGTTGTTGTTATGTGCTGTCAAGTCAGACCTGACTCATAGCAACCCCTCCTTGGGTTTCCGAGGCAGTATTACTACAGAAGTAGATTGCCCAACCTTCCTTCCAAGCAACAACTGGTCTTCTGCTGGGGAGGGCTGAAGTCACTTGTCAAGTTTGTTAATCTTATTATTACTGATTGTCCTCACAAAGCAGAGCATTCCAGATGAAGCTAGACACATCCTCCACCCCTGGGGAGCAAGATGCATGAGACAGAGCAGAAGGCTTGCCAGCCCATGGAGTGAGAAAGCTGAGTCCTTTTGGGGCTGGAGGCTTGCTGGTGTAGTGGGGTGCACCTAGGTGCTCCTATCAGCAGAGCTATAAGAGCATTGTACACTTGCCTGAGCAGGACAGAGGCCAGGTC